TCAGACTATGAGTGGTGCATGTTTGATAGGCTCTGCTCAAGATTTGTTATAAAAAACACCCCATGTGAAGGTTGACTTCTACAATCAACTTTGGTGCAAGCCATCGCACTGTAACGCACTTATGATGCGCCAATGAAAAGATGTGATTTCGCGCTTATGCAATCCTTGGCAGTTTTGCCTTTTAAAATTTTTGTTACTGCAACCCTAACTTAGGCTCTGCATGAATCCGAGAGTTCGGATCCAAATTTGTGTATTGAGGGCAGGAGGCCTACGGCCTGTGTCAATTCAGCCTGTATTCCACGGATTCCATAGTTTTTCTACTTGTCTGCTATGTCCTGCAGTTTTACCGATCTGGCAGGAAGAAAAATATAGAATATAATGGTTCCAAAATCATTTCTTAGTATCCTATACATCAAAATCAGATCAACTCTTAGTCTGCGGTAAGACAGAGTAAAGTGGTCCAACTTCTGAAATCGCTCTTTGTATTGTAACCACTGGAGATCTGGAATTGCATAGATGGCTGCCCTCTATACCTATTACAAGATATCCGAGCAGTCTTTTAAACAGGGGGTTGAAGCCTGAATTTGGTCTTCAGGCTGAAATTTTGCTAAATTCGTGTATACTGTGGTGAACATGTTAATATCTAACCTAATAAATGTCTGTCTTAAACCTCGTTAGGTCCTGAACCCCTTAGTTGCGACCTAGCAAGAAAGCCGCGGTTTTAAGACCATGGTCTAGTACGTTGTCTAGATCAAAGACCACAGAAAGCAGCTGATTTCGTGGAGCTGTATTTAGGTCTAGTTCTTCGTCTAGAAGAGGTTCTTGAGTGAAAACTACCCCGAAATGTTTGCCATGACCTCTGCATTTTCCTGATCATCCTCTGTCATGTGAGGTTCACCCTCGTCTATAGGTTGGGAATCCAATCATATGTTCTTGTTCTATAACGTACGCACGAGGACAGTCTCTTCGGCTGCTTGATTACAGATTGGGCTAACTACTTTTTATATTTTTATTGAGCTGCCTGGATCGTACTTATATACTTATTTCATACCAATCTGTAGTGTTCCATCGTATTTGCTGTCCTAAGACTGGCGGCGACGTTCCAACATTCCTTCTTTTGTCTTAGTCGACGTATAATACCCCAGTCTATCCAGAGATGGCCGTGCCTCTTCTTTTGGACCGTCCAGAGTGTAAGTCAGTCGAATTACTCGGTTGTACTACTACCGAAAATGATTCCATGATTTTTCCACTGGTGCGCATGACTCAACATTCCAGTTTTCAACAGACGCTTCATAATTGGTCGCCTTCATGTCTGCCTTTCATATGCTAGTTAGGGGCCGATGCATCTGCTTGACAGACCATATCAGCCATGGACTTGAATAAGATGAGTGTATGATCTCCCGACATATGGGAAGAAAAGTTCCTTGATTGCCACTATCGTCATGTGTGAAGACTAAGTTTAAGGGAGACGAGTTTCGTAGATCATATCTTGTGGGATCTCTAATGTGCTAGAATTAAGCTAGAGCGACTGAAGTTTTTAAAAATTTGTAGTCAAACGATTTTTTCAGCGTTCCTACTTCCGAGTTCCCCTAATTTATAAAGGGTGTATTAAAGTCACCTACTATAAGGCTTTAACGCCTGTTTGACCACAGTTTAAGTTTATTTAGGAGGAAATCATCCACTACACATTATGAAATGCGGTAAACTGCAACAAATGAATGTTTTGCTCTATACATTTCGGCCGGCAGCTCACCAGTTCGTAGGCTCTTGAGCGGTGTGCTGCTGTCTCAAAAACTCGTACGGATAAAGTGCTTTTCATGTACAGAATAGCATCGCCACTATTGTGGCTAAGTTTGTTCATCCTACAAGAGAAGAAACCAACCAAATGAACCTCGCTATCGTACACTTATGAAGCCAATCATGTTTCTTAAATGGCCCTGACACCAGGTTATTTTTAAGTCCACCACGTTTTTGGGCTCATGATTTATTCAGTAGTTGCGAGTATTTATATGCTTACTTCCGACCGCTGTCAATTGGAGAGGAGCATAGGCCACTCACAAGCATTCTACATCTAACTCTGTCCTGGAATATCCTTCCCAGCTGCTATTCATCATTTTCATGTCTAACTCCAATTCCCAACGCAGTGTTCCCTGGTCTTCCTCCTTCCCGTTTACCTTCAACATTCCAAGTCAACGTTTGCCTCGTGATGCAGTTTAACGATCTACTCAATGTGTGTCCTGTCCACCTCCAACATCTTTTCCTAATTTCCTTTCCAGCTGGAAGCTGGTTTGTTCTCTCCCACAATAGACCGTTGATGATGGAGTCCGGCCAACGAACATTGAGCATCTTCAGTGGACAAGTATTTATAAATACTTGTACATTCTTGACGATAGTTGTAGTAGTTGTCCAAGTTTCAGCTCCGTACAGTAGGACTGTGTTGACGTTCGTATTGAAGATTCTGACTTTGATATTGGTTGACAGTTGTTTTGAGTCCCATTTGTTCTTCGACTGTAGGAGTCCTGTTGTTGTGTTTGCCAATCCTTGCCTTTACGTGTGATCGGATCCTCCTTGTTCATCGACGATACTGTCCAGGTAGGTGGGAGTTTCCACCTGTTCTCGATTTTCTCCATCAAGTGTGTTTGGTTTTGTTGATGTTCTGTGTGTTGTATTTGAGTATCTTGGTTTTTCACTTGTGTATGTTGAGTCCTGTTGATACAGAGACAGCTGCTACACTGGTTGTCTTCACCTGCATTTGTTGATGTGTGTGTGTGATAGAGGATGTAGGTCATTTACGAAGACCAACTCGCTTAGGTGCATGCAAGCAGTCCACTGTATTTAATGCTTTCCCTCAGATGTTGAGGTTTTCATAACCCAGTCAACTATTAGAAGGAAGAGAAGTAGGTAGAGTAAGCAGAATTGTCTGACTCCGGTCCTCACTTTGAATTCATCTGTCGGTCGCCGTCCATGCACCACTTTGCTGTGTGGTCCGTCGTATGAATTACGGATTTGTGTACCATACCTTTAATTCTGTGGATATATTTTTCCTGAAGCCGAGATTACTTTGAGAACCGCTTTGCTACTGACATTTAAAACATGAAAACTGTGAAGTGCAATGTTATTTTCACCGTCATGGCGGCATTCATTTACTTCAACCTCTACCGTTCGTCTCATAATGCGATCAACCAGACTGAGATCCGTACTGCTGATAATCCGGATCCAGAAAGTTTGCATGAATTTTCCAGTTTTAGGTTTCCTTCATATGCACAAGAAAAAGTGACTTTTATGAGGCGGCTTACCTGCGTACTTACAGGATCCACTTTTTATTCTATTCTATAAAGCTTATGGATACCAAATCCTGCTACTGTTTCCGAAAGTATCTTGCTTATTGAGAACTAAATACGATTTAGGTGTTGTTCAATCTAGCCTTTGGTTCCTCTTCGGAAGACTCTCAACTCGTGAGAAATGACTGACTTTTCAACGATATCCATTTTGAAAAACGGTGAGGTTTTGTTGCCTAAAATCTTATCCTTGCAGTTCAATTTCGCATCAGACGTCCAGCTTGAAGATACCACAGGATTTATTTGCTGCTACAAGGTCTCACTGTTTACTTAATTTTCTAGACACTACTGTTAGCCAATTGTTGACCTTATCTTGTTTCTTGATCACATAATCTATATCGCTCAGACTTTGCTCTTACATAGTCTATTTTGCATCCATAGCGGAATCTGCTGCTGAAACCATCAACTCACATATTTTAGAGCTTCCTGTAATTTGTCCCTTTTTAGCGTGCTTTTTTCTGTAACTATGACTAAATCTGTTTATCTGTTATCCATTAAATCATAGGGACTCACGCTGATGGCGTCATTCAAACCTAAAGCTGGACTAGTGATAACGCTCACTACATCCCCAAAATCTGACAGCTCATCTGCTACCAACCGTTTGTCTGAGAGCATCTTCCTAGCTGTGTCTAGGACTACAGTCGCCTCAAGAATTAGCAGAGACTTTGTAGGGCCGTACGCCTTGCACAGCCAATGTGATAATGGCTTGAAAATCGTTCTATATACAGCCGGTGTGAGTTAGGCGCACACAAGATATCACCTGTAGCCATTGTCACACTGCGTTGGTATACCACAACGATGTTTTGTTTGCTTCATTGACGTTGTAAAGTGAGCTCACAGAGAGAAAAACACAAAACGCCTCCTAGAATGTGAGAAATGCGAAGAAACTGACTTACAAAAAGCGTTTTTCTAGAGCTCTTAATGTTATAAACACTGAACACAAAAGGCTGAAACTTATATGTTACTATAACTGAAAATCCAGCCTAAATAAATATAAAATAAGCCTTAACCCATTGGGATACAGTCAAAATTAAAAGGCTTACTCGGCTAGGAAAAATACCGCTTCCCTTCTAAAATGCATGGCGCTGCAAAAATCAGTGAGTCAAAAAGAAACGAAATGTGTGATTGAATTCATCGTTTAGATATCAGTTAAATGAAAAAGGAGCATAAAAACATCTAAGATTGCCATTGTGTTGGATGACGGTAGATTGATTGAGATCCCTTTCTGTAAGGCTATCGACACGCATGAAGATGGCACAGGTATTCAGTGTTTGACAACGCCTTTACCAGCAATACCTAATATAATTCGTACTCACCAAGAGAAATCAAAAGACAGAGTCGAGGAGATCGGAAGAGTGTATTTGGCGATAACCAATATATCGGAATCCCCTGATCTTATCTGGCTAGCGATTGCGGTAGATGTTGATCACAGCGTTACCACACATGTACTGGTGCGGATGCATGACCGGGCGCCTTCAGCTAGATGAGTCCACTAAAACATATTGTCAGCATCCAATGTTGAAAACTTACAGAGGTATCTATTTTGGGGATTTATTTACCGCTACACGCATATCCCGAGGAACAAATAGTTTACTATTTGTACCAGAAGTTGAAATTGAAGCGAATAATTGAATGGCCTAACAGCGCGCCAAAAGATTTAACGGTAGTGGCTTCGGTTTCATCTTCGTTTTCTTTTTCACTTTCCGTTTGTCTTCCTGCAGAATTTGTGGCGAACTGCATGATTACTGCATTTCTTCATGAAATAATAGATATGGTAGTTATATTGCCGTGTTTTTGTTCAACGTATACAATCTAAATAACGCAATATTTCTTCTTTTAGATTTTCTTAGTGTATGGATATTCGTGTCAGGCTTCGGCCTTGGTTAGAAAGTCGACTTAACGACGGGTGGATCGAAGGACTAAAGTGGATCGATAGAGAAAAGGGAATATTCAGGATCCCCTGGAAGCATCATAGTAAACATACATGGACGGAAGATGATGCTGCTATATTTAAGGTACATTACTAGACAAATATCCTTACTTTTCAGGACTGGGCTGTTGTTACTGGGCGTTATCGGGAGGGCATCGATACACCTGACTGGCCGATGTGGAAAACTCGGCTTCGTTGTGCACTGAACAAAGCGCCTGATATCCAAGAGGTCAAGCAACGTCACAACTTACACTGTGAAGAACCTTTTAAAGTGTATCGCTTTGTGAGCAAAACAGAATCTCTATGGCGAGCGAATGCGATAAGAAATGCTAGCATGATCTTCGATGGTATACAGGCAGGATGTAGATTCACTTCGTGGAGTGGATCGAACGCTTCTAGCTCTCCAATGAATTCTCCAATTCCGCTTTCAAGACGACCTACGCTGATTGTCCAGAAGTTGTCAGGGCTCAAATCGAATACCCGTCGGTTTGCTGTGGTATGTATGATGTTGCTTACTTCATTTTAACCAATTGCGTTGCATTTAAATCTTATATGACTTCATTTATTTTCCACTTGCATAAGTAAAATCAGGATCTGTAAATTTGTCTACATCATTTATCTTAATTAGTTTCTGGGGTAAAAAAGTTCGATTTTTAGGGCGTTGATGTTTTATGTACTTGCTTATGTATTTCAAATAATTTTGATCGGTGATTAGAGTAGCTGACTGTTGACGGTCTGGTTTATATGATAATTCTGAGTCTAATATTTGTACACTAAGTCTGTCTTGTTTTCTTTTGTTGTTACGCTTGTTACCCCTCGTTGGACATGAGCCTCCGACTAGGGGTCTCCAACCAATTCATAAATGTTAAATCCTTCATTGTTTGCTGTCTTTTATAACTCTGTTCATAAACATGTATTACTGCGAAAGTTATAGTCCATAGCTCCTTTTTATAAATTAATAGCCTTTACTGTTGTAGTTTTAACATCAGTATTTAGTGTTCGATATAGGCAGTTATGAAGATCTGGACATTAAACTTAGAGTTCCGAGACCTCATCGTTTGTTGAGAAATCATGGCATTTCGGCCAGACTGCCGGGTACTTGTACTCACACTGACCCTGCTTGGTATTTCGTTGAGAAGTGGTCTAAAACCCACATCTTTGAATGGCTGTGTGCTGTCATTGGGCTGCCAGATTAGATTATTCGAATCTTTTTGAGTCAGTGACTCGGACGTAGGTAGCTACCAAACATTCTCAACTGGAGGTCGTACCTCACAAACTGAAGATAGTTGTCTTACTGCAATTCTGCGTAGACGCCATTCGATAATTCAGTGATGATTCAGATAAAGGTAAACCATTTTCAATTTTGCTGCGCAGAAACAGATTCGAAGTGACTCACCCTCTTGAGGCTACACATTTTTTGTACATGCTTTATGTAAAATATTCGCAACTATAATGGCTGACGTCGACACCTGTCCCCAAATTTTTAGAAGTTTCTTCAAACATTTTTGTTCCTTCAAAAGTGCTTTATCTTTTGGTTAAAGTACACAAAGACTGAAAAGAATAATCTACAGAATTTCTTTTAAACATTTCCAGTCGATGTAATTGAGTAATTTATCACTTATATCATTTCAGATCCGAAGAGGTGATGGTGTTCAACACATCCAGTCCAATTATCGCCCTGCTTATATACTACAAGGTCACCAGCTTAACCGTAACAAGATTTATTACAATTCTACTAGCGCTAATGCCACTCAAAGACTGGGATGCGATAACGAGAACATGAACTTAGATAGTTATGCTAACTTGTCCCCATCAAGTTACTCTGAGTATCAAGCTCCAAACAACACTACAGTCATAACTGGGGGCATATCTCTTCCTAACCGTTTTGTCCCTAGGATTGGTTCAGCAAATCAACATGTTCAGTTGTTACCTGACATTATGGAACCGGAATACCATCAGTTAGGTGTGCGCATCCAACATCTAAGTGTCCGCATTAGAGACACAATAGTTACCAATCCTAATGGTTGTTGTATTTACTATGGGAGATTTGATGAGGTATTTACCGTTTTCTTGACTAATGTATCTTACAGATCAGCTCACCTGCTGCTCCTGATCCTATTGAAGCACAAATTCCACACCAAATCTCAGTAGCCAACAAGGCCTATGTTGATCTCTTGTTGGATAATATGGTCAAGGGAATCATACTGACAGTTATCCATGGTAGTATTTACGCTGAAAGAATATGCAAGTGTGCCGTTTTTGTGTATATTCCAACGGTGGGTGGAGAATATATTTTGGCAAAGAAGCTTGGACGTCGGTTAAGGGAGAAAATATTCGACTATGATCAGTTTTTGTTTCACCTGGACTCATATCGTCAAAATCAACAGTCACGTCCTCATTTCGAAGTCGTTCTGGCATTTGGTCAACAACTAAAGCCTGGGATATCTACTGATAGCCTACTAGTGTGGGCTCGTGTTGCTAGCTGTCGTGCTTGGTTCCAGTTACACAAAGTAAGTGCTATTTGTTCCTAATATTCCTGTCCATTTTATCACGGAGTGCCAATCGTGAGGTCTTGAGATAAATAAAATGTTTGTTCCTGTTTCTGGGATAGAACATAGTGTCTTTATAGTTATGTTGGTTTTAAGTCTTGTTCATAAAATCCACTTTCGTTGGTATACTAAGCTAGTGTCATCTTTCACAGTGACATTTCTTAAGGACGCTAACATATTTGTCATTCTAATTATGATATTTTTTGTAAAAAAGATGGAGTTTTGGTTTCTGAGCATTTCGTCACCGGTTTTCTTTCTCTGCATATTTTTATCCTTTCCTATTGACTATGAGACTATGTACCACAAGTTAAAAGTCGATATTATCAACTGGATAATAACAATAATCTTTCAGTACTCTTCACATGCTTAACCATTATTTTTAAAACATTCAGATACTATTGCCGTATTGCTAAATTTAATATTGGAAGTTCAAAGTCTGAAAAGCCTTTCAAAGTCAATGGTGGTTATGCAGACTCATCAACTCTTCATCTTCCTGCTAGCATTTGACTATTTGGGGTTCTGATTTTGATCTTGTTGTCAAGCCTATCTTATAGAAATAGTCCTCTTTTTTCTGTTCACATTTATGTATTCGAAAGGTCAGTTTTACTATCCCGTATTTAGTCGGAGTTTCCTTGTACAATTTAGGGGTTTTAATATTTAAAAACTGCATCCCAAGAATATTTGTTGTTTATTATAATCTCCAGAATCTATGCACAACTGAGCCCGACCACTGCTGCTACCTTGACGTTGTGGTTGGGCTTGCCTATCGTGACGAACCAATAGGGCGACAGTAAGGTGTTTCCCTCAGATAACCAGCATAACGACGATTTTGCCTTCTCACAAAGGGAGGGTGAGGTTGGAAGAGATCGACCTTAAACTATACAGCTCGCCTTATTCCGTGGATATTTGTCTCCGGCGGTAAGGTTCCAGCAAGTAGGAGCTAACACAAAAATCACCCACAAAAGTTCGTGTATGAACCCAAGCAGTTGCCTCTTGGGCACTGCGGTCACGCTCTCAGGTCAATAAGATCTCTAACCTAATTTTCTTTTCAGGTAGCTCTAGAAAAATCCTTTCACGATGTGGGCAACGGGGCAGTGATAACCACCCTCATTCCTCTAACAATCAAGATAAACACAGTTGAACCTGTATCCACAATAGAGGAGTAGAGTTTTACTTACGTTTTCAGTTCATCTGCTAGGCAATACAATGCGCAACATATATGTACACCGTAAGGAGCGTTACTGTTCATTTCAAGATGATATTTTTTCAGTCTAATATACGTCCTCAATGTTCTTAGGGATCGGTGATCGAGGTGTGGTGTTAAAAATAAGATTCAAGTCCATGACTTACTGGATCATTTTTACTCATTAACTCAGGTTTTTATATTTGTCTTTTGAGCCACATTTTAAATGTAAGAGTTAGTTACATTACCTGGTTCTCAAAAGCTTAAGTAGCTGGAGCTGGCTTCTGACAACTTAGTCAGTAGAAGTCGAGTACTTTAATCACTGAGCCATCGCTTCACACTAGGTCAACCAACAAGATTCCATACCTAATATAAAGAATACATTTAACTATGAACTATTTGATCACGTGTTGATACTGACTCAACGCACTGTTTTATCGGCTTAAAATATTACACTGTCATAGCGAAGAGAATGGTTATTAAGAGTCATGTGCAAAAAGTGGGTAGGCGTAAAACAGTAGTCTTGGGAGTTAATTATTTTCGCTATTATCTAATACTACTGTGTTTGGTTAAACGGTTAAGGTATTTGATTCAGATCATGCACAACAAAAACGTCGAAGGATATCATTTTAGGAGTGTGGTCGAATAAATTTTCATTTATCAAATAAGTGTTGAAACTTGATCACAAACCCTTCGTTAAGCTGATTTACTCGTTATAATCCTGTAGTCGTTATCCCCACAAAATTAATTGCGTTCAGTCGTACTCTTGTGAAATGTAACTATCATATGGGACCTGTATACTTGCTTGTCTACCAATATTAGTCGCTGATGCCTTTGTTTTCTTTGATATAACAATCTTTTCTAAGTGATTATGGCACCACAAACTTTTAATCAATATGTATTCCGACTGTGACATTGTCGTTTGGTTTTGTTGACGCTGGTGTCGCACCAAGCGTTAGATCTGAGGCAGTATTAATCGATTGGATCCTCAGTAACAGTCGATTGTGTGCTGTTAGAGTAGAAAGCTCCATCAAAGTAAGAAGAAATCGGTTTGAAGAACGATGTCTTTTTGTCATCTTTACCTACGCTCTGACAGACTGCATCCCGGATACAACCAAGGATGAGTTCTACCACTGATTAAGTGTTCTGTAGAAAGTGTGTTCGACAGATATTGTAGTACTAACCGGGGAGTCGAATGCACAAACCGGTCGTATAGGCACAGAGGAGTCGTTTGAGTGGCCAACGGGGACTCGTGGGTCTCAGGTCAAATAACGGTGACCACCTACTGTAACTTTACGCAGACTAAAACATGTTTCTGGCTTGTATGAACCATCGGCACAGTCATCGCCGTTGTCCCACCTAGCATCCTCTCTCTGTATCTCAAGCCTGGATTCACACTTATCACATAGCGGTCAACTAGCTCTAGCGTGGTTGTGTACAAGACTCCCGCTCCTCTCGGAGTATTTATCTGGACTCTGGTTATACCATTGTTTACGTCAATCTTACATTTCAGCGTCCAATAAATTCGTCGGCTGCAGCCTCTTTTGCAAGTAAATATCAAACTGAGGCTAACTATCAACAGATTGAAAAGTATAGATGGGCGCTGGCTGCAATTGCATGACTCCATGAAAGTGAATAGTAAAGTCGCTTGCAGCTTCGCGCGACGTCTCATTTATAAGCTCTGGGTTTCTACATATTCGTTACAACTCATCGAAGCACATCGGGCTACTCCGGCTAGCCTCTAGTTTGCCCATGAACAGAGACTTACGTTGTGAAATTGTGCAAAGGAACTACAAGCCTGGTTGTCGGAGCGTGCTAATGAATTGTTAATGGCAGTTGCATTTTGTAACTGCCGGAAGCTTTTTCATCTCATCTGAGACACTGGCAGCAAGAAGTGAGTGAAGCTGACTAAGTACCAATCAATAACATCTATCGATTTCTTGGACGATGGACACAGTTTTTCGAGCAACGATTAAAATGGTCTGCTGCTCCTGCATCATTGATCATACTGTCCTCCCCCCTTGATCGGTGACGACTGATGCACCTAATGAGGTGAAATTCCACAAGGAACTCCAACCCTTGAAGCGTCACATATCACCAATCCCAGATGACTTACTTCCGGCCCTTTTTAGTGATTATGAGGACCTTCTATTTATTAAACAATTCTTCGCAAATGTCTGGTAATCAGGGCGTATTCTAACATTTGGGGATCAGTCACTAGTTTTTATCTTTGAAATGGGTTTACGTCACCAAAGCAACAACTACCGGGGGATAAAAGTCTACTTCCGATTGCGTCTAAATTATTGGCTTCCGTCGTACTTCGTAGATTGTTTAAAACCCGAGAAAGTTTAATTCTAGAGGAGCAGGCTGGTTTTCGTTCTGGTCGAGGATTATGTCTTCACCCCTCGCCATATGTTAGAACACCGTCATACTTATTACAGGTTGTTATAACTCTGTTTTCTTACGGTTAATGACCCAGCTATTCCTATTGCTTAGTATTCTCGGACACCGATTCACTCGACAGAGTCCCCAAATCAGAACACGGTTGAACAGGAAAATGATTATATTCCAAATAGCAAGTCAGAAGCCAGAAGGAAGCACAATAGGGGAAAACGTCAGTATATTTATAGTTTTTACATAAGAAGAATCCAGAATATTCTCCAACTATCGACTAGCGCTGATTGGATAAGAATTAGCCAATCAGCGTGCACCAAAGCAATCATGCATTGAGCATGCTTTAATCTAGTCTATGTCCCGCTAACACCTCCCCTCTGAGCAGATTCGTAGGATCTGGTGCTAGGGTCCAACTGCAACTGAGTGACTGGCTTGTGCTTTCGATTAGTCCATCGTCTAGGCAATGAAGAATTATCACTTTTTCCTTGCACAGGGACTGACATGTCTGTTCCCGGCGTTTTGATTTTTCTTAAAAAAAAGTATGCATAACTTTTAATTCTCCAACATTCTCCTCCTCCGTGAAACAATGTCGGATCCTTATATCTCCAAGTTACAAATAATAGGACTTTATTTAAACCATGTTTCTCGTATTGACTGGAGAATCCACTAAAAATGACTAGATGATGATGAACAACCTTTGATCTGAGTTCATTATTTTCAAATTCATTATGAATCTCGTTAGCTGATAACGAGTCATTAAGAAAGTCAACGCCTAACAGAATTAGATTAGATTTTTGGCCATCATTCGACTCAGCTGACATATTTCCCTCATTGTTATAAGAAGGTTCATCAAAATCATATGCATTATTCTGAGAATCAATATCTGGTACACTGTCATTAGAAATGGGATAAGTTGACTCAATATAAAATTCTGTCTTCCGGTGATTTTGAGTAACATCTGGTACAATTTGGTTCATCGTGTTGCTCCAGTTATTTTCTGAATACGAGTCACCATAGCTTTCTCGACTAATAGCACGTGGACCACAATTTTGTTCGAGCTGACGTTTATTTTCGCAGCTAGACAGTACCAGTAGTGTTTCATTTGATTCTGGACTCCGGGCTTCATCTACAGGATCTGGCTCCTGATCATCTGGTATTGTCACAACTTCATGTGCATTCAGCACAGTATTTTCTTGCTGTGAGCCGGACACGTTACAAATATTACGTTCTGATTCAGGTATAAAGGGATTTGAACCCTCCACTTGATATGCTTCTGAAATGTCTGTTACTGCATCATAAACAGATTTCTTATTTTCTGGTCGAGTGAAAAGTGTGTTCAATAGTTGTTGTTGCAAGGCTAACAACTTCTGCTGGTGCTGTAATATTAACCGCAACTGTTTTAAAGAAATCGCCATTTTTCTTTAGTTTTTCCCCGTCGCCACTGTTATATTCTGTTTTCTTACTGTTAATGACCCAGCTATTCCTATTGCTTAGTATTCTCGGACACCGATTCACTCGACAGAGTCCCCAAATCAGAACACGGTTGAACAGGAAAATGATTATATTCCAAATAGCAAGTCAGAAGCCAGAAGGAAGCACAATAGGGGAAAACGTCAGTATATTTATAGTTTTTACATAAGAAGAATCCAGAATATTCTCCAACTATCGACTAGCGCTGATTGGATAAGAATTAGCCAATCAGCGTGCACCAAAGCAATCATGCATTGAGCATGCTTTAATCTAGTCTATGTCCCGCTAACACAGGTCAAAACTCATTGTGTTTCTTGACATTAGGGCCACCCTCATATTCGTTGGACAAGACTATTCTCTGGGATTGTCTACCAAAGAAGGGTGTACCTGAGAAGTTTATTAACATTTTTAAAGCCCTATATACAAACAGCTCAGGCAGTTTGAACCTGTACTCATTCTTCAGTCAGTCAGTAACAACGTAGAACTTCGTACGTACGTACATCAGTTCGAGTTGCCACACCACATTAGCACAGAGATGCACTTGTCGATTCAAATCCCGTAGTGGTAGAGGTAATAAGAGTATAAGCAGTAATCGGGAAGATTAGGGTTTGGAGATGTTAACTATCAATACTCATCGTGGTTTGTTCCAGTATAACCGTCTACCTTTCGGAGTCAAAACTGCACCATCTATTTTCCAACAATTAATGGATACCATCCTATCAGGTATCTCGGGAGTCGCGGCTTATTTGGATGACATTTTAATTGTAGCAACGACATTAGAACAACTACGAGAACGCACGACATTGGTACTGCAACGCATCAGTGACAACGGGTTCCGGTTACGCCCAGAGAAATGCCAGTTTCATTTGCAGTCGGTAAAGTACTTGGGGTTCCTTTTCGATGCCGACGGCCGCAGGCCGGATCCTGAGAATATCCGAGCTATCAAACTGATGCCCACTCCCACTAATGTCTCGGCACTACGTTCCTTCCTGGGACTTGTCAGCTATTACTCAGCGTTCGTTCCATCGATGCATGATATTCGCGCTCCACTCAATAGCTTACTGCAGAAGAACAGCTCTTGGAACTGGACAAAACAGTGTGACACTGCCTTTTGTAAACTGAAGTCCATTATTAGTTCTGAATTGCTGTTGACACACTACGATCCAGCCATGCCGATCATCGTAGCTGCAGACGCTTCAGCGTATGGCCTAGGCGCTGTTATCTCCCATCAGTTTCCGGATGCGTCGGAAAAAGCCATCATGCATGCAGCCCGTACACTAACCCCAGCAGAAAAAAAATACAGCCAGATAGAAAAAGAAGCGCTTGCACTTGTGTTTGCTGTGCGCCGTTTCCACAAGTTCCTGTACGGTCGGAGATTCACGCTTCTCACAGATCACAAGCCTTTACTCGCAATATTCGGGTCGAAATCTGGCATTCCAGCTCATTCAGCAAATCGCCTTCAGAGATGGGCTTTAGCACTCTTGGGGTATGATTTCGAGATCCAGTACCGACGCACTCAACAATTCGGTCAGGCGGATGCCTTATCACGACTCATTAGTGACCAGTTGGCGGCTGAGGAAAACACGGTAATTGCATCTCTGCTAGCGGAAGACCACGCCGAATGTTATCTGACGACCGCAATACGAACTTTGCCGGTATCTGCAACGGACATACAAAATGCTTCTAAGAGCGACCCCATCATCAAGAGAACTATGAACTATGTCACCAACGGTTGGCCGACTAAGAAGTTTGATGGTGATATAAAACGGCTGTATCAGCGGCGGGATTCTCTATGCATTGTGAACGACTGCTTGATGTTCGGAGAGAGAGTGGTTGTGCCAGAATCCCTTCGTGCAAAAGTGCTGAAACAGTTCCACCTTGGTCATCCGGGGGTTAGACGAATGAAATCCATAGCCAGGAGTCATGCGTATTGGCCGCTAATGGATCAACATATAACAGAATTGGTTGGGAAATGTATGCGGTGTCAGCAAGCGGCAAAAATGAACGCCAAAGTTCCACCAGTTTTATGGCCACAACCTGATCATCCTTGGTCCAGAATACACGTCGACTTTGCAGGCCCGATTAACGGAACCATGTATCTAGTTGTAGTCGACGCCCTTTCGAAATGGCCTGAAATCAACCCTATCATACCGCCAACGACAACTAAAACAATACAGATCCTCACAGAAATTTTCTCCCGAAATGGTATACCAGATACTATTGTATCTGACAACGGTTCACAGTTCACCTCCAGCCAATTCCAGTCATTCTGTCAACGACTAGCCATAAAGCACTTACGCTCGCCACCATACCACCCGCAGTCGAATGGGCAAGCAGAAAGGTTTGTGGATACGTTTAAAAGAGCCTTGGCTAAAACAAAAGGGGAGGGGACGCCAGCAGACGCGTTGCAAAATTTCTTATACGTGTATCGAACAACACCAAATGAAACGTTGCCGGAGCGAAAGTCCCCAGCAGAGATCCTAATGGGAAGAAGACTGAAGACGATCCACAGCCTGATGCATCCAAGTAATGCAACTACACCAGTACGGACAAAGTTTGAAAAGCAATCCACGTACGAAGTGGGATGTCCGGCAGATAGAAGTAGTCCGAAAGTTCGTGTGTCTAGGTAGCTGTGCAAGTGCTAGCGGTGGCGTGATTGATGAGATCAATTCACGTATAGTAGAAGTCACAGCAGTTTGTGCCTATTTGAGCCATTTGTGGCACTGTGATGTTAGTTTGGCTGTAACCTTTAAATTAGTAACAAGAGTCATGGTTGGAGTTGGGCCCACATAAAAAACTCGTTGCCTTGATGTCGGGCTTTGTAGTGGATTCGGTAATAAGGATTAAAGCTTTACATCGTAACCAACGCATCTAAGGTTTCTGTATTGTTGAATATGTCAATTTTTTGTGTTTTACGGTCATATATTTCAAAGGTTCACACATTGTATGCTATCATCCCATGAAATGTCTTCATATTTTATACAATTTTAACAGTATTTATTTTTCTTTTAATCAGCACATTTAAGTTAAATTCCTTTTATTTTTCCAGGTTCATACACTCAGACCTGGTTATGGTGAGTGTAACAGTGTACATTTAAATAATCCAGTATGTCCTTCCATCTACTACCATATTAGTGAAAACTCAGAGCAGTCAGAGTGTGTCATAAACCGTTTTTCTGTAAGTCAGAGTCTGAATGGATGCAGTAGTTACAATGAAAATTCAGCTGTTTTAAAAACGGATGATGATTCTGTCAATGAACACATTGTTCCTACGATTAATTTTACAGACTCTTTGGATCCTGATAGCATTGTTACTGAGCAGATAATTGAGGAAGGAGTTGAAGTCCCTTTGGATGATACTGATGATTTGGCGTATAGCACTTCCGGTTCTGTATTGCAGGAGAATCTTATAGTTTGTGTTGCATCTCAAGATGTTTGTTCAGTACCTATTTGTACTTCAAGTTCTTCAGTCACCCAAGACGTGTTCCTGAGTGGTATTAATCCAATCGACATGAAATCCCACCCACTACTGAATCCACATGAAGAGATTACAGACAAATATAACTCACGACCTGAAAACTGATGAAGTTTCCCACCAAACTGTGTATAGATTTGACAGTCTTGATTTTATTATCATTATTATTATTAGAACCTGTTAACAGGTAAATGTGATAGGCCCGCTAATATATGTTTTTCCATATATGCTTACATAAATCCCTTTTGTTATCTTATGTTACTGTAAAATAAAAATTTTGTCTACTTGTCTTCACTGAAATCAACAAAATTTTATGGGAAAAAACTGAAGCTCGACAGAGTCATTATGCATATAAAATGCACTAAACAACTTGGAAAACTTTATGCAATCACAAACCTCTTGGCATTTAAAGAATTGTATCAATAAACTAATCCAGACCTGCTTAATATATTAGATGATATTGGATCAAGTAGAAAGTTATAACCATTGTTGCTACTACCTTGACGTGGTGATCGGGCTTACCTATCGCGATGAACCAATCGAACTATACTGGCTGGAACAACCGTTCCTCAAGGTCCTACCATGTCAGACAGGTCGGTTGAAGAGCGGTAAAACTAAAAGTAACAAACACAAGGTCCGAAGGCGGAGTTGTACTGCTGGCTGTACAGAGGTGTGACGGTAGTAAGGTGTTTCCTTTCGGACAACCAGCTTAACAGCGATGCTGTCTTCCCACAAGGAGGGGTAGGGTTAGAAAACGTCGACCCTAACAATGCACACCACCTTGTCTCACGGATATCCGTCAACGGCTATAGGGTCTCAACAAGTGCGGAGCTAACAAAAATTACCCACAAAAGTTCATGTGTGACCGACCTCAAGCAGTTATCCCTTGGGCACTGCGGTTACGTCCTCAGGTCACTAAGATTAACTCTAATCTAATTTAATTTTCAGGTACCCCTAGAAGTACCTTTCCACGATGTGGGACACGGGGAAGTGATAACCGCCCTCATACCTCTAACAACACTCAAGATCACTGTATTCATAATCAATCTCACTCTTCAATCCCTATTATTCCTCCCTCATCGACAGCGTCATCATAAGCAATGATTCTAGTGCACGAAAAACTGTCCAAGGTCTACTGAAACCTCGCTCCAAACTACACAATGGGGCCTTCAACGTGCGCACCCGTGGCAAATCAACCAACAGGCCTCCTTGACTAAAACCTTAGAATCTCATTCGACTGGTGTATGCTATGTCTCCGAAACACGCATACAGGATCCTAGTGTGGTCACTCACTTGACCTCACCCCGCCAAAACGGAGAGTCGACTAAATACACCCGTGTATCTGGCAACTCGATGGCTAGTTCTCGTGGACTGGCAGGTGTAAGCATAGCGCGAAGTACGAGGGCCGAACAATCACTCTTGAAGTGGGTCCCTGCTAACAGTCGTCTATGTGCTGTTCGGCTAAACGGCCCCGTAAGAACTCAGAAGGATAGGGACACACGTCGTTGCCTTTTTGTCGTTTCTGCCTACGCTCCCACTGACTGCAGCCCGGATGAAGTGAAAGATGACTTTTACAGAAAGCTCTCAGGAATTCATAAATCTAAGCGTTCAGACATAGTAATCGTAGCAGGTGACTTTAATACCCAAGTAGGTAGGTCAAACCAAGCAGAAAGACATTTGGGTGGGTATTTAAGTATCCCGGCTCATCAAACAAATAATAGTGATCGTCTGCTGCAACTGTGCCCAGATAGTCGTTTATATTTAGCAAGCACTAATTTTAAGCATAAGGGGAGACATCATCTGACATGGCGACCCACTGCACCAAACCAATGATGGAATCGAACAGACTATATTGCCATCAGTGATTGTTGGAGAGGCTCGATGGAGGACGCGCTCGTTCTGGAATACCTGTTTGAACTCCGATCATTCTCTAGTACGAGCACGCATCTGCTTGCTCCTCACTGGACGCAGAAAAAACCACAAAGAAGTCCCATTAGAATTGAACTGAGTGACGAGAAAGCTAAAAGTAGATTCCAGGGACAACGGAGGTCACACTTAAGTAGTTCTGAAAACGAAACTGATCCAGATGTTGCTTGGAAAGATACAAACAGCAGTGACGTATATCAGTGATTTAAACCAAAGGGTTACAGAAAACCATTAAATTTCTTTCGAGTCTACAGCACTGATGGGTTCTCGTAGACTCATTCCATCAGGCTCTGAACACGAAGAGCGAGGTTAAACAGATGGATTGGCTCCAGAGGTCTTAATGGATGGTGGTCTAGTTTTGGCGATCAGGTTGACTAATATTAGGAGTTGGGAGTAATCCCATCTGACTGGTCGCAATCATTGATCGTCCCAATATATAAGAAGGGGTCAAAATCATCTTGTGACAAGCATAGAGGGATTAGTTTGACTAATGTAGCATCTAAAATACAAATTATCGGGCGCCTGACTAAGATTCGTGAACTGCAAACACTAGAAAATCAGGCTGAATTTAGACCTAGTGATGGCTGCATCAACCACATATTCTCCATTCATTAGGTTTTTGAACAGTCAACCTCCAGTGGTGTCCAACAAGTCTGCCGACTAGCTCCATTTTTGTTCAACTTCACCATGGACCCACTGCTGGAAATAACGTTCTCGTCGACTGAATTTTCGGGCATTGATCTCCTACTAGGTGGTCCACTTAGAATACTCAGATGAGAAAGTCCTGTTCGGTGAAGAATCTGATAAAACGCAGTGTCTTTTGGTAGCACTGAGCAACAATGCCAGAATGTTTGGAATGCGTTTCTCCCCCTCTAAAAGCAAGTTGTTGCTCCAGGACTGGCCTTTGTCAACACCTGAATTAAGGATAGGGAGTGAAGTAGTCGAACGCGTTGACAACTTCACTTATTTTGGAAGTGTGATCATCCCTAATGAGTTGGTGTCTGACGAAATCTCTTCACAGATTCAGAAAGCTCGTTTGGCTTTTGCCAACTTACGTCACCTATGGCGAAGGGGAGATACTCATCTATCAATTAAGAGACGAGTATACTGCGCGGTAGTTCACTCTTTTCAACTTTACGAATGCGAAACGTGACCATTAAGAGTAGAAGATACTAGTAAGCTACTAGTATTTGACCACAGATGCCTTAGAAATGTTGCTCGCATCTGCTGGGATCACCGGGTAAGTAAAAGTGATGTTAGACACAGGGAATCAGGGAATGATGGTAAATCAGTTGATTAGGCTGTGAATCTTCATCGACTGAGATAGTTGGACCGTGTTACGTATGCCTGAACAGTGATTACCACGACGTGCAGTGCTAACCGGTGTTGGGGATGGTTGGGAGAAAGTTAGTGGCAGCCAATATAAAACGTGGCATCAGTCCTTGAAGTCACTAACTTCTGCTCTGAGGTATGTTGGTAGATGCAGACGACTTGTTTGGGGTCCGCGTGATTATGGTTGACAATGGTTGGAGACTCTGGGTGTTATGGCACAGTGGCGTCAGTGTATACACTCTTTGTTTTTAAACTGTGTGATCAAAATTAATTAATTTCTTTCTTTCTATGAACTAATTCTTTCTTCCTGTACTATGTCCTTATATGCAATCTTTCTTTTATATATTACCACCAGCGAATTAACTACTTCTATGAATTCGGTGTTCATCTTGTTGTGCTAATTAGATATGGCAACTTGGACCGATGCATAAATATGCCTGGTCATATGTTGTAGCTGACTGACTTACAGGAAGTAACTAATTGTAATGCCGTCTCCTGATATCTGTTTTGTATTAATCTTCAGTCATAACTCGGTGGAAAACTAACAACTTGAAGTTTGTCCTGATTCTAACTACATTATCTCAAGTGACCAAGTAATGTTGTGAAAGTTAAGATTATTTGTACTTTGAAGTGTAACGTACAAACTCAAAAAATCTGTCTGATCCCTCAAAACGTATTCTGTCGATCAAGTTGCAATATGGCTACTAGTCCGGATGAGTAGACATCCCTTGGACTATGTTGAGATGTAGGTTGATCGTTGGAGGTGGTCAGCAGGAAACCCATCATCTAAGTCTCACGCTGTGTTGAGTTAAGTCAATCAATGTCCTCCATTAGGAGTGTTGAGATAGCACTTGGAAATTGAATTATGTTTAGGAAGATAACTTGCATATATTAATAAGTAATGTTACGGTTTAAATGAGCTGACCACTACATATGAATTCTTGGCATGTGTTGGTCTAGGTGCAGCTACTATCCAATAGTGAAATATATACATTTTGAGTAAGCGATCTGTGGTCGGTCCGTAAAAGGTTGCTAAATATTTAGTGTACTAGGTTTGAGGTATGAAATATACATCAGTATAAATGTAAAGATGGTCGGATTATGTAATAAAGATGAAATCCTTCAGGTTTCATTCTCGAGAATGAACTACAAAATCCGATAAATATACGTTTGGTGTTCAGGAACAACTGTCTATTTAGACTTGATCGCCCGGCTGCTCTTAAGAGTGTTTGTTCCATATATTCTGTTTAGATTATAAGATTTGATTTATTGCATCTTTCAAGTAACTCGACTTAGAGACCACAGTGCATCTACCTAGACAAATATTTCATAATACTCTTAATAGAATAAGAACTATGTATGTGATCTTATATAACTATCAAGTTAGATATTTCTTTGTTTAGTATATACTAGGATTTTACATTGCATTTAAATTTATAAATTGTGTTATAATAATAACTGACTCCATCTCAATGTACTTTTGAAGAGAGCATGAACAACGATTCTAACAGAATAGCGTGAATTCATTTTATTTCATTTGTTTCTCGTCAGTTGCTTACAATCTGTAATATTTAAAAATCATAATTACAAAATGGGTTTAAATTACATGGAAGATTTTAGTTGGAAGTTATTTTTATGACACACCAGTATCTTATGTTAAAAGGAAATTCTACAATATTGATTTTAATAAGTCCAAAGGGTTAGAAAGCTTGATGGTAACAAATTCAGAGGACTAGAACTTGAGTGTCTTTTAATCACCTTGAAAGATTGTAAGGTATCGACCTGATTTCCTGTATCCAAGACATGTTTGGTAATTGCACTGTTTAAAATCGTTATTCCTCTTGCTTTAAGGCTTTTTGGAACATGTTAAAAAAATCTAAGATTTACCTTCCTTTCTGTTTGGCCAATGTAGCTGCTTTAGCAGGTACACATATGTTTATAAACACAGTTGGCGGTAATATAAAGAAGGTGCTTGTTGACCGTTGGTTGAGTTATTGGACAAGTTGTTTTGTTGCCAAGTAAGTTCTGGCTAATG